CCAGGGGGTAGCAATCACATTAGCTATACTGAAAATGATGCCCTAGACTTACTCAGCAATGAATGAGGGAGCCCCCATTCTACCCCACCCTCAGGCCAGCCTGGTACTTACGGACATGCATCCTTCATTCCTATGTCAACACATAGGAGCTGACAGGAATAAGGGGCCTTTGGAAGGTGTCCTTCCTCTCCTTCAATAAGGTCTTTCTTTATCCATTAAGGAGTAGGAAGACTTACCCATCCTTACTGTTGTAATTCTGACCCTACCCATCCCAATGTGCCTATGTTTGGATATGTGTGTATACCATGGTCATGGATACAGGTGAGTTTGGTGGAATTACATAGCATCATAGTTTGCTATGTAATTTTGCTGTTTGCTGATCCTGACTGAAGAGACAAAGGGGAAGAAGGACCCCAAGGTCCTGGCCTTGTTGCACTTACTAAGTTAGGTGCTTTGGCACAGGGCTGTGCCCGACAGGGCGGGTGCCACAAAGATGTTCCACATTGATCTGCAGTCCCAGGATTCTAGACAGGCACTTCCATACACAGACATACAGTGAGTGCGTAGAACTTCCTACATATAAGTAAATGGAGCTCTAGGAGAATAAGAAACCACCCATATCCGCCCTCCCTCAGGCACTCCTATGTGAGCTGTGTACAAATTCGTGGTTCAGGGCCCTCATAGCTCATAGCTCTCAGGTATATACACATTATACAGGCACACACATTAACACACACATCCGTTTTTTCTCCTTTGCTCTGGTTGCTAGGCCAGTCTCTGCTATCAGCAGGCCTAGGATGGGCAATGTGGGGATGGGATGCTGTGGACTGAGTTCTCTCTCTCTCTCTCTCTCTCTCTCTCTCTCTCTCTCAGACATGATCTCTCTATGTAGTCCTGGCTGTCCTGGAGCATGCTATGCAGACCAGGCTGGCCTCAAACTCAGAGATCCTCCCAATCTCTTTTCTCCTATTCATATTGAGGAACTCCCGCCTTGTACCATTTTTTACAGACCCACCCCAGGCAATGAGAGGCCCAGAAGTACAAAAAGGGTGGAGAACAGAGGGCATCCTGGCAGGAGATGTTCCCCACTCCCATAAACCACAGTTGGAGCTCTGGCACCAGGAATCTTGTGTTCTGTCTTGAGTCACAGGCTGGCAACAGGGCCAGCAGGCAGGCACTCAGTGATGGCTGCCTGATTCACTATAGAGCCTCCCAGCCCAGGGGGGAGGGGGTGGCTGGGAAAGGGGCATCTCTTTGGACCAAGGACTATGAGAAGCTTCATGTATTGGTTGCATATACCAATTCTATGTAAATGAAATCCTTTCAGCAAAGCAAGCGTCTGTAGGTAAGAATGTAACTACAAGCTGTAGGTGTGCATGTATGTGTGTAATTCTATACTCAGCTATGCGCCTGAGCAGTTGTGAACCTACCTTATGCTTTGCTAATCCTCAATACTAGGATTTTCTCTTTTCCTTTTAAGGTAGGTTATCACACATAACTTGGACCTGGAATTTGGTGTATATAGGCTGATCTCAGTCTCACAGAAATCTGTCTGCCTTTGCCTTCCAAGAGCTGGGATTCAAAGTACTCTCCACACCTTGTGCCTGGCTTTTTCTTTCTTTTGGCATGTTTGTTTTTACATGCCACAGTGCATGTGTGAAGGCCAGAGGGCAGCTTCTCTCCTTCCATCACGAAGGTCACTGGAATTGAACTCGGCTCGCCAGACCTGGAGAAAAGCACCTTCGAGAGCTGAGTCATCTTACTGCTCCCTTGTGTTTTGAGCAAAGGTCTCATGTAGCCCAGTATGTGCTCAAACTCTATATGAAGCCAAGAATGACCTTGAACCCCTGATCCTGTGCCTTTATCTCCTAAGTGCTGGATTCTAGGTACCCCCCCCAGCACGCGCGAGCGTGCACACACACACACACACACACACACACACACACACACACACACACACTACATTTCATATGAATCTTTCTTTCAGGGACAGCCATTCTTCAGAGAACAAGTCCCAAGGGCCTTTAGCTCACCCAGATTAAGTCCTCCTGAAAAATGTAGTTTCTTTGGTCTTTCCTGGCAATACATGCTTCTATACAGACTACGGGTGAAACCACACACTTTTATCCCTGTCATGTGGGAGCAGGGCTCAGGCCACTAAACCTGTTTCCAGTTGGTCAGTTGACTGATTTATCTTTTTGATGCCAGGGATCAAACTCAAGACCTTGGACCTGCTAGGTAAGTATTTTACCACTGAACTAAACCCTCAGTTCAATTTCCCAATTGCTAAATGAAACTTGGTATAGTGGCTCATGCCTGTAACCCCAGCACTTGAGAGGTTTAGGCAAGAGGTTGCCAAGAGCTGGAGGCCAGCCTGTGCTACCTAAGGCCAGTTTTGAACTACAGTTAGTGTGACTTTGTCTCATAAACAAACAAACCAACCAGTCAACCAAACAAACAAAAACACCCTAGGTAAATAGGTAAATAAATGTAGCCCTGGGTGTGGGTGGAGCTCAATAGCAGACACACACTCAGCTTAGCATGCCTTGCTGCAGACCCTGGGCTGTAAACCTGAGCACTGGAGGAAAATGAAGGGAAGAAAACAGGCAGGCAGGTAGCCAGCGCTGATAGCAATATTGCCTATGATGCTCCCCTGACTAGTGGATCAGATATTCTTACAGTTTGTCTGATGTAATCTCTCTCTCTCTCTTTCTCTCTCTCCATATTTTAGATTTTTGAGACAGTCTCGCTTTTATTGGGCACAGGGGTTGGGGAGGATTAAGACAGGGTCTCACTGTGTAGACCAGGCTGTTCTGAAATTCACAGAGATCCACTTACTTCTATTTCTTGAGTACTAGGATTAAATTTCAACACCATCATTTTCCTTTTTTATTTTCTTTTTAGACAAGGTGTTTGTACATGTTCAGTGTGTGTGTGTGTGTGTGTGTGTGTGTGTGTGTGTGTGTGCGCACACGCGCAGTTCTGGCTGTCTTGGAACTCAAGCTATAGACCAGGCTGGCTTTGAACTCAGAGATCCTCCTGCCTCTGCCCACTAGTGCCTGGTTATTGTTATTATTATTTATTTGTTTGTTTTTTGAGACAGGGTTTCTCTGTATTGATTTCGAGATTATCCTGGATCTAGCTCTGTAGACCAGTCTGGCCTCAAACTCACAGAGATCTTGCCTGGCTCTGCCTCCCCAGTGTTTGGGATCAAAGGCATGCGCCACCACTGTCCGGCTTTGCCTGGTTATTTTTATTATTTTTAATTATGTATCTTATGTGGGTTTGCCCACTTGAGTGAAGGAGGCCACAGAGGCCAAAGCTATAGACAGGCTGTCCTGGAGCTGGTGGTTATGAGCTGCCTGGTGTGGGTGTTGATCATCTGTAAGAGTAGGTCACTGTTAACCACTGAGCCACCTCTCCAGGGTCCCCACCCCCACACTGGTTTTGAGACAGGCTACAAGGCTGGCCTTTAAGACAGACATGCCTTGGCAAGCTGGTGATAGCACTTTTAATCCCAATACTCAGGAAGCAGAGGTAGGCGGATCTCTGTGAGTTCAAGGCCAGCCTGGTCTATAGAGTGAGTTCCTGGACAGCTAGGGCTGTTATATGCAAACCCTGTCTGGGGGTGGAGTGGGGTGGGGGAGGGAGACAGACATGCTTTGAACTTGTAAACTTCCTGCCAGTCCTCTTGAGTAGCTGGTGAACTCTTTTTTGAGATGGGGTCTTATTATGAAACCTAAACTGATTTTAAATCCACAATTTTCCTACCTCAGTCTCCTGAATGCTGGGGTTGTAGGTATGTGCCATGATACCTGGCTCAGTTTAATCGTCTTTTAAAAATTAATTAATTATGCCAGATGTGCTTTTAATCCCAGCACTTGAGAGGCAGAGCAGGCAAATCTCTGGGAGTTTAAAGACAGGTCTACATGGTGAGTTCCGGATCAGCCAAGGCTACACAGTAAGACCCTGTCTCCAGAAAAATTACAATGTATGTGTTAATCACAGGCACCATTACCAACTAACAATGATTAATTGGGATTAATTCTCTCCTGCCTTCATGTGGGTTTTAGGGATTGAATTCAGGTTATTAAGCTACCGTGGTAAACACTCTTCCTGCTGAGCCATCGCCTGGCCCCCAGTTTAATTACTTAAAAGGATCGATTTACTTCCATGGTAGGTCAGCCAGGTGGGGAAAGGAGCTTTAAAAACAGCTGGAATTCACCTTGCTGGCATGATGATATGGCATGTCAGGACAACTGCAGCTCAGCCTCTGGAGCCATGGAAGCCATGGGTATAGTGCAGCAAGGCCCCACAAGAGAAAGCTCAGGTACCCCAGCCAGCTTGTGCACCGCAAAGGTAGATCAGACACACAGGACATATGCCTTGTTGACACTGCTGTGGATGTAACCAACTAACACATTCAACATGTGACATGTTCCTAGAGCACAAAAGGGCTGTTGAACTCAGGTCAACTCAGCCCGGGTGTGCCCACCAGGGTAGGTAGGCACTGTGAGGACTCTTCCCACTTGGGGCCAATAGCCTGACTGAGAGCTTGCTCTATTCTGTCTGTCATCTTGTAGCAAGCTGGTTCCTCTCCATTATAACAGGTTCCACCCCTAGCTTGAGAAGATGCCCACAAGATTCACTGTGAACATAGGAGATCTTTTTTTCTTTTTTTTTTTTTTTTTTTCTTTTTTGTTTCAGGTCCCTTTTCTGTACTTCTGTCCTCACCTAAATTGACTCCCTCCACTAAGTGCCCTCCAGAGTCAACCCACCCTTAAAGCTCCTTAGGACCTTCCTCACCAGCTCCTGTCACCCAGCGTCTCCACCAGCGCCCTTAGGCTAGGCGGTGGGTGGTGGCCGGGCTCTGAGGAGAGGCTCCGCGGGCGGGGCTGCTTTCCCTTGCAGTGCATAAAAAGGGCGCCACCTAGACTCCGGGCCACCGCTCTCGGTGCCCGCCGCTAGCCATTTCTCGTCCCGTCCCGCCCGCGTCTCCGGACCGCGTCGCTGCTTGCCTTGCCATGGGTCGACAGAAGGAGCTGGTGAACCGTTGCGGGGAGATGCTCCATATCCGCTACAGGCTGCTTCGCCAGGCGCTGGCGGAGTGCCTGGGGACCCTCATCCTTGTGGTGAGTGCAGGGAAGTGAACAGCCCTTTCCCTTTCCAGTTCCCGCGCTCCCCAACTCCTTATTCACCCAAGGGACAGTTTTTCGAGGCAGACCGGACCAATCCCCTAGCTCTGCTCTTCAGGCTTAGCCCTCAGGGTCAAGCTGACCTCCAATGCCCTCATCTTCACAGTTCCTGACAGCCCTGACTCGAGAACGAATGTCTTACTCAGCAAGAGCGACCCCGCTTGCTCCTTTACCTTTCCAGGGGAGATCCAGACCACAGGCTGCCAGTAGGGTCACCCTACAGTTTGGGACCTTCAGCCCTTTCTCTTAGTTCCCAGTCTTCCAGCTTCCCAGAGCCCCAGCCTCAGGACACAGTGAAGGCAAAAGGACCCCTTATTAGGTTATTTGGGTGTCAGATGTCTGGCCCCAAATGAATAATTAAACCTCAGAAGTCCAAAAGTTGCAGCAATGAGGACAGATTACCACAAGTGGGGGCAGAGGGCGCAGGTCTCCTGGACTGCAAGCAGCAAAATTGGAAGGAAGGAATGTAGTAAAGATAAGCGATTTTGTAAGGAAACCGGGCCCGAACAGAGGACTGGGGGTGTGTGTCTGTTTCCCTCCTGCGACCCATCTACTTCCAGCGTCTTTGTGGAAGATGGAGGCCTTTTGCTCCTTCCTCTCCTGTTGGTTACTCTCGGTCCTCCCGATCCTCCATGCTGAGGCTTCTGCAGTTTTGCTCTGAGTTGTTCTGGGTAACTCTGGGTGTCTTTCTTGGTCTGACAGGCAGTTGCGGTGTTCATTTCCTGTCCCTGTTACTCTGATTTTGCAGTCATCGATGTGGGTTTCCTTACATTTGTTTTCCTCTGCATCTCTTCTAAATTAAGTTGCCCCATTGCAGTGGGTGGGTCACTTGAGTTCCAGCGCCCCACCCCCACCCCGGGTCCTAGGTAATATAGATCAGTTAAATGACAAGAGGGGGTAGAGGGAGAGGCTACATAGGGAGAGCGTGGCCCAAACTAGCCTCTGACTTCATAGACTCGTGGCCTATCAGTTGTTCCCATTCCTCTCTCCCCTGTGCCAAAAAGGGAGTGGAGGGGGCCCTATCACCTTCTGCCACTGTCCCTATCTTGATTTGTGAGTCCACCAGCCACCTGTTTTGGAGCAACAGCAACGAGGACAAGGGAGGCATCTTCCCCTTCACAGAGGCCTCCTCCTCCCTTCCCAAGTCTTAGGTCAGCTCCCCTATGGAAAGAACAGCAGCTCTCACTGAGCCCCAGGATCATTTGGCTTATCGTGGGCTGCAAAAAGAGGGTGCTGGGTCTGTGGTGAAGGCTCTCAGGCTCAGGGAAAAATGTGAGCTATCAGGTGTCAGTAAAAAGCAGAGCTGGGGTGTCGGGGGAGGGGCAGGCCTAGGGTATACCCTGACGCCTGAAGGCTGGCTTGTGTACTGGTGTTGGGGACCCAGAACCTTGCAGTGTCAGAATCCAGATTGTCTTTGGGCAGAGAAAAGCCCCCTTCCCCAAGGTATATAGTTGGATGGGGTGAGGAGCTAGCTGAGAACCTGGAGACAGGGGCGAGGTGGGTGGAGAAGGAAGAGGAAGATTAGCCCCAGGTGGGGGAACTAACTGGCTTCCATAGCTCCTCCCTCTAAGGCCTCCTGGCATGAAGCCAGGTCTGGGCCTCAGGTAGGCAGAGCTCAGGCCAGGGTCTGGCTGGGCTCAGTGTCCCAGACCTCCATATGCCTCCACCCCACACTCTTCCAATCTCTGACCTTTGCTTCACCTGCCTGCACACCTTTGCCCTGCATCACTGCCACTGGCTCATCTTTCTGAGTGATAATCATCGGTTCTTAACAACTCAGTACATGGCTCGGACCCACTAGAGTTACTGGCACACAGCCTGCTGGCCAGCAGGGCACTTTCTTTCTTTCTTTTTTTTTTTTTTAAACAGGGTCTCTCTACATGGCCCTGTTTGTCTTGGAATTCATTATGTAGACCAGGCTGGCCTTGAACTCACAAACATCTGCCTGCCTCTGCCTCATGAGTGCTGGGATCAGGCCCTGCTCAGCATAGCACTTAGTGAGAAAGGAGACCCAGGGCTGGGCTGCAGGAGCTTTGAGGGGTCCTAGAGACTCAGGACATAGCACTTCACAGTGGTTGGTGGCCAGTATTTTCCCTTTCGGATATGTGTTATGTCCTGTACATGCCGAACTTGAGGAACCCTAGTCCCTTTTAGTCCCTCTATCCCAGAAAGGTTAGAACAGACCTTGGCTGGCGTTAGAGAAAAAAACCTCTTAAAACTTTGTATTTAGGCTCTCCAGGTCTGAGAGGGAATCCTGGAGGCAGAGGGCTGGAGAAGGAAGAGAAGAGTAGCCTGGGGGAGGTGCTGGGAAGACAGATCCAGGACAGTAAGTTTGCTAAGTGAGGAATGTGGTGAGGGCCAGGCGCTTAGACATTTCCAGACTCAGGAGTAGATTCATCCTCACTTTGTTCTCCCTTCAATCTCCGTATCCCCCATCACCTCCACTATGACCTGAGCTTTGGAACAGTGTGAGTGCAGGGGTGGGGCACTTTCTACTGTGTGCCAGGTCTGGAGGTCAGGCAGAATCAGAATCTACTATCGTATAGTGACAGCCCCTCCCATGCCCTTCTGGGATTCAAGAAAAACCAGTAAATATGGTTCAACTCTCTGGTTCCCAATCATATACCTGTTACCAGCCCCCCCCCATCCCCGCTCTGCGGTATTCAAGACGGGATGTAAGTGGGTGAAGGGCTTGAGATTGCAAGAGGAAGGATTTGGGTTACATTCCAGGAAGGACCTCCAATCTGCTGTGCTGGCAGGTGGGGCTGGTCTCAATGGGACCTCGTTTGCTCTGTTTTCTGACACAGATGTTTGGCTGTGGCTCTGTGGCTCAGGTGGTGCTCAGCCGGGGCACCCATGGTGGCTTCCTCACCATCAACTTGGCTTTTGGCTTTGCTGTCACCCTTGCCATCTTGGTGGCCGGCCAAGTGTCTGGTAAGACCTCAACTCCAGCCTCAGTCCTTGTTGGCATTGCCAACACAACTGGCTAGAGGGCAGAGAGGGAGGGGCATCCCCAAGTGCGGGAGACAAGGGGAGAAGAGACCTGATACTTGACAGAACCTTTGACTCACCTTGGAATCACAGGTTATCGGCCAGTCTGTGACATAGTCCGACTGCCATGCAGGCCAAGAAAACCTTCTTGCACCCCAGGATGGGGGAGTGCATGGGAGCCCTGCCCTCCCCATGGTGGTCGGCTGTAGCTAATGAATCTATTCCCTCTCCTCAGGAGCCCACTTGAACCCCGCTGTGACCTTTGCCATGTGCTTCCTGGCACGTGAGCCCTGGATCAAGCTGCCCGTCTACACACTGGCACAGACACTGGGGGCCTTCTTGGGTGCGGGGATCGTTTTTGGGCTGTACTATGGTAAGCATTCTCTTCTCCACTACACTCTCCCTCTTTAAGTACTTGGCCCCAGTCCCACTGATGACAGCTGAGGCCTGCCCAGGCCCAGGGCTCATGACTCATTAACACTCAGGTTGGGGGCTCAAAGGGAAAGAAACAAGTTGGGCAACAACAGAATCTCAGGTCTTCCACCCCACCCTGTGCCTCCAGAGTAATATGCTCACCTGTGACCCCTGGCAGGGCGGGGAGGGCAGGCCTGAGAGGGGAGGCTCTGCCTTCCCTCCAATGGGTCTACTCTGTCACCAGATGCAATCTGGGCCTTTGCCAACAATGAGCTTATTGTCTCCGGCCCCAATGGCACAGCTGGCATCTTTGCCACCTATCCCTCTGGACACTTGGACATGGTCAATGGCTTCTTTGATCAGGTATGGACTGGGGACATTTGAGGTAAATGCAGAGGGACAGACACTCCTTGACTGTAGCAGGATTTCTCAATTTGTGGGGACCCCAAACTCAGAACAGGGCTCTTCTCACTGAATTGCTGCACTTGCAGGCATCCTGGGATCCGTCGGGGAAAGCAGAGGGAGGGGAGGGTGGGAGTGTAGGGGAAGGAGCTGTCCCTCACCTTGTCTCCACTGTCCAGTTCATAGGCACAGCCTCCCTCATCGTGTGTGTGCTGGCCATTGTTGACCCCTACAACAACCCTGTTCCCCGTGGCCTGGAAGCCTTCACTGTCGGCCTTGTGGTCCTGGTCATTGGAACTTCCATGGGCTTCAATTCTGGCTATGCTGTCAACCCTGCCCGTGACTTTGGCCCTCGTCTTTTCACTGCTCTGGCTGGCTGGGGCTCAGAAGTCTTCACGTGAGTACAGCTGCTGCTCAGCTTAGCTCGCTTTTCCTCCGCCCTGCCTACCTGTCTCTGATTTCCCGTATCGACCCTCCAGGACCGGCCGGCACTGGTGGTGGGTACCCATCGTCTCTCCACTCCTTGGTTCCATTGCTGGTGTCTTCGTGTACCAGCTCATGATTGGCTGCCACCTGGAGCAGCCGCCACCTTCCACTGAGGCGGAGAACGTGAAACTGGCACACATGAAGCACAAGGAACAGGTCTGAGTGGGCAGCAGCCATCCCCACTCTTCACTCTCTGGAGTGTCCACTGACTGTGTGGGGGCCGCTTCCTAAAAGCCCCCTTGTGATGCCTCTCCCAGGCTAAGATGCTCCCTGCACCCACCCCTGCTGGATGGCCCTTCCAGAATTCCTACTGAACTCTGCCCAATAAGACATTAGGTCCCCCCACTCTTAAGCCAAGGTAGGATAGCAAGTAGGACCAAGCATCCTTTTGTTTCCCAAAAGGAAAAGAATGTGTGCAGTGTGTACCTGCCTGCGTGCTGTTTTCCAGGCATTTAGGGCAAGGGACCAAGTTTTCAAAACAGACCCTAGCAAGTTCAAGGGAGCCCAAGGGAAGGGAGTGAATGAGTGAGGAATGTACAAGAGTGTGCATCTTCAAGGGCTCCATGTGGAGGTGGACCCAGAAGTGTACTTCTGAGCATGGGTGTGTCTGCTTTTTTTTTTTTTTTTTTTTTTTTACAGTGGTTTCTAGGCTTTGGGAGGGGGAAGGGGTAACAGAGACATAGCTCTCATTTGGAGCTGTGACCCCTGAGTAGGAACTGTGTAATGTGTTTCTGTTATAAGATTGGCACTGGGGTGGGAATGAAGTCCATGCCGTGTTTCATATTTTCTGTTTTTTAAAAGAATATATAAATATATACGTACATATATATGTTACAGTCTTAGGAATAGGGGTAGGGAGACTCCTTTTTAAAAGGGGTCTTTCCCCTTCCTTTAATCCTCAAATCAACAATGTACTGTTGCCTTTTATAAAAAAAAAAGAATAAAATGTATGCATAAAACAGGAACTGTGCCTTTCTGTTTGTTTTTGTTTGTTTGTTTTGAGACAGGGTCTCACTCTGTAGACCAGGCTGGCCTTGAACTCACAGAGACCCCCTGCTGGCATCAAAAGCATATGTCCCCACATCAGAATGTGCTATTTTTCTGGAACTAGTACTAGAACTTTGGTGTTACTTGACCACAAACTCCCAGGTGTCTACTTTAGAGTCAGATCTCAGTTTGTATTCAGTAATCTCCAGCTTCCACACTCTTGAGCATCTTCAGAGTTCTCCCATCGAAACAAATTTGGAGTCCCCAAGGCAGGCAGAGCTGTCCAAAGAACTGAGAGGGTAAGTCCCCTGTGGCTTTGAAGAGGCCAATCAGACTGGAGACCTCTATTGTCCTCTGCAGCTGCTTAAGCTCCAACCAGGCTTTGGCTGCAGCTCCTCTTAGCAGCCTTTCTGCAACTGGGCAGTCCATACAGGTTGCTCAGGGCTGTGTCCCTGAAAGCAAGGCTCTTTGCGTGGTCCTCACTACATCTGTGAATGCTCCGAAGTTCTCCATCTGCATCCAGGTTCTCTAGAACCCTGTCCTGACCCACCCCATCACCAAGCTCTACCTTTACTCCTGGCTACGTCTGGGGTCCCTGGGCTTTCCTAATTCATCATCCAATCTAAAGTTACTTGCCTGAACCAAGAACCTCTGTTGTGTTTACTCGAGTCTGGGACATGTCCATGCCCAGTAAGGCATGGGTTATGTGACTAGCCTGGCTCACCTGAGTCCAGGAAGTAGGCCTTGTTTCTGGCTTCCTTACCCTATCTGACTTAAATTTTACCACGAACATGAGGGAAACCTTCCTGCAGAGTTAACCCTGTTGGAGCCAGAGGCTCTTGGGACTGCACAATTGTGCTTTTCCAAGGTTCTTGCTCCCTGCCCCCTTCACAGATGAGACCCAGGCCCAGAAAGGGTAGGAGATGAATTTAGCCCACACAGCTAGCACTGAGACCTGGGAAAGGGTAGAAGACAGTTTCTCCAGGGATCTCTACCCGTTCCTTGTCCCCAACTCCCAAGAGGCATGTCTGGAATGCTGGAGAGACCTGAACCAGAGGGAGTGTCCCATTCCCAGACCCTGAGGGTGAAAACTGGTAAACCTTGGGAGGAGAAGGTGCCTGCAGTTTCATTCAGCATACCATACCAGTTCCTCCTTGGTTACCCCTTCCATCCATGACGCTGTCCCACCATCCTTCCTTTCAAATCCTGCCAGGCAGCTGGAGGGGTGGCAGGGGGCCCTCAGGTGCCATGACTAGAAGATAATGCCCATCACAGCCTCTCTAGTGTAATGTGTGTTCCATCTCTGGACCTTAGTTTCCTTATCTGTGACACTTGACTTAATAAAAGGAGCAAATAATAGGAGATGGCTTAACAGAGGCTGACTCAGCAGGTGAAAGGCACCTGCCATCACATCTGACAAGGTCAGAAACTTCTCTAGAACCCAAAAGGTGGAATAAAGAACCAAATCCTCTGATGTTGTCCCCTGAGCTCCGTACTTGCATCCTGGCCTGTTCACAATACAATAAATGTAATTAAAATGTTAAATTATATTAAAAATATAAGTGGGCTTAACAGTGGCCAGAAATCAGGAAATACTCAGTAAATGTCCCTCATGTCTTTACTTGCAGAGCCAGGATGGGGTGGGAAAGTCAAAGATGGGGTAGAAGGGACACTGGGAGCTGTTTTGTTAAAGTCATTGAATTCAACAAACCGCTTCCACCTGGGATTCCTTCCACAATCATGAACTTACTGAGAAGGGAAAGAGGAAGCAGGGTGGTAACTTGCTCTCCTATGCCCAGGCTCTCTACAAGGCTCTCGGGATGGGTATGAGAGGCAAGACTGGTCCACAGTGTGCAAGGCAGAGGTGGGAAAAGGAATATGTGTTGGATGGACTGTCAGACCCAGTTAAAGCCAGGAGCAATGAGCGAGGCAGCCACCTTGTGAGCCCTCCAGGCAAGGAACTCCCCATGAATAGCCACTCTGAATAGGCAAAGCTATGGATACTAGCACATTCTGGAAGGAAAATGCTCTACTTCCTATAAGAAAGCTTCTCCTCCATTTCACAGAATTTATTTTCAGGGAAGCTAGGGAGAATCGGGAGAGTTGCTCCATGGTAGGGCACCCATATGTCAGGGCTTGCAGAGAGCCCTTCCTCTATGCTTCAAGAACTTTCCACAAATGCCTTTGAAGAAGTCATCTTTCTTTTTTTGTTTTTCTGAGACAAGGTTTTTCTGTATAGCCTTTGCTGTCCTGGAACTCACTCTGTAGACCAGGCTGGCCTCAAACTCACAGAGACCCTTCTGCCTCTGTCTCCTGAGAGCTGGGATTAAAGGCATGCACCACCACCACCACCCACCACCACCACCACCACCACCACCACCGGGGAAGCCAAATTTCTTAAAGCATTGATTTGTTCCAATCCGATCCCTTGAGCTTGGCTGCTGTCTGGGTACCTGGCTCTGTGTCTGTGCATACAAGCAAATGTGCATTTCTCAGGGCTTCTTGTGGGCCTGTATTTCTCTCACCAGGTCAGACTGTTTGTCTGTCTCTGGCTTTCTTCATCTTCCGCTCTCTGTGTCTGTAACTGCCTAATTCTTCGTGTACCTCTGAAGAGGCATCTCTGTATGTCCTTGGGTCCGTTTCTCTGTGTACTTGATGTTTATATCCAAGTGCAAGTGACTCCAGACAACCATCTGTGCTCCAGGGCATGCCTTCTTAATTCCTGGTAATGAGCACAGGCTTGCTGCAACTCTCCTTGTCTTTTTTTTTTTTTTTTTTCTGAAAAAGCTGGGTGGGGCATCCCCAAGCTTGGAGAAACTTGGGTGAGGTAGAGTTGGGTGGTGTGGGAAGGCAAGAAAGGGCCTACTCCACCCAGTATAGAGGCCCTGAGCAGTGGTTCTCAACATGAGAGTCATGACCCCTTTGTAGTTGCATATCAGAGATTTACATTGCAATTCACGATAGTAGCAAAATTATAGTTATGAAGTAGTAACAAAATAATTTTCTTAAATTTTATTTATTTATTATGTACATAGTGTTCTGTCTGCATGTATGGTTGCATGTATGCCAGAAGAGGGCACCAGACGTCACTACAAATGGTTGTGAACCACCATGTGGTTGCTGGAAATTTAACTCAGGACCTCTGGAAGAGCAGCCAGTGCTCTGAGCCATCTCTCCAGCCCTGTAACAAAATAATTTTATGGTTGGGGTCACCACAACATGAGGAAATAGATTAAAGGGTTGCAGCATTAGCAAGGTTGAGAACCATGTCTTTAAAGGCTAGAGAAGGCTCAGAGCCTCGGAGGGTCTAGGAGGGTGCTAGCTGAGGAAGGGAGGAAGGAGCTGAGCTGTCCCAAGGAGCGGTGCAAGTGTGAAGGAAGGAGGCACTGCGATACTGCCCAGCCCTTAGACCCAAAGTGGGTTTTGACAACAGAATACCTAAGCCCTAAAAGGACAAAGGAGTGGAAGTGTCTACCTAGTATCTGGGAGGGGCCTGCTCAGGGACCCAGGAGTGTCTGCATGCCCTGGAGCTTTGTCCATAGGCCTCAGGATAGCAGCAGAAATAGACTGGCTTAGGCACGTTGCTGTGGGATGTTTCAAAGGAGCACTTCCTCTTTGAAGAAAGCAAGCTGGCCCTGAAAGTCTCTTTGGATCACATAGCAGAAGAACAGATCCCAATCCAGGCCTGTAGATCTCTAGGATTGCAAGCCAACCCTTGCCAGCACCAGGAGGTAGGAGGCTCTGTTAGTCTGGCTCTAATCTCTGTTCTGTGCCCAGGAGACTAACACCCATGACTGTATCACTCATGCTCTGGTTTCCAGCTGACTTTGGCTAGTAGGAGGCCTATCTAGGAAATAAGAGGGCAAGGAGAGTGAGAGAGGTAGGTCAAGGTATTTGTACCTGATCCAAGAATCCATCCTCCAAGTTCTAGAATGTTGCCCATCTTGCTCCTTCTGAATGAGGGCCAATGGTTGTTGCCCTTCATTCTTAATGAAGGCCAGTAAGAATCCTATGTGCTTCTGCTGGATCCTTTTCTGTGGTTTGGCTCTCCATCTGTAAAGTGAAAATAGTCATGGTACCTACATCTTTAGGTTGTATGTGCAGAAGATGAATTGAGTTAACACGAATTGGGACAAGGGACAATGCCAGATGGGGTGATGATGGTAATGACAGCTTTCCTCCTCTGTACTGAAGAAGGACAATGTAGCTGGGCTTGGAAGTGAAACAGCCATCCCTCTAGCACCAGGACCTTGCTTGAGAATGGTCTAACCTAAAATCTATAGGCCCCTACTTCCACACCATTTACTGTCTTTGTCTAAGTGCCAGCTCAGTGTGAGGGAGCATGTAGAATAAGAAGGGATGAGTGTGACCTTTCCCTACCTTCAGGGTTCTCTGGGTAGAAAATCTAGACCAACTTTTCTGAGTTCAACCCCCTGCTTTGCAGAGCCTTTTGGGTACAGTCTTATTATACTTGCATCAGTCTTAGTCTCTCCCCCGCCCTCCCCCCTCGATGGTACTAGGGATGAAAACCCAGGCTTCCCGTGTGTGAGCACCTCACTCCTGAGCCATCGCCCACAGGGTTGTTGTGAAGGCTCCTGTGATCTGTGCTGAGCTCTGATTTTGTTTCTTTACTGCTCAGAGCTGACAAGGTTGGCTGGGAGAGGTTAGGGAGAGAGAGAGGACTCTGGAGGCCTGATAATCATCTGGTTATAGTTCACTGCTTGTCTCTATGGAAATGTGCACACACCCCATCCCCCATAGGTGAGGAGGCACCTGGAATGTCAAGCTACACCTTCCTCTACATCTCTGCTCAGGGCACAGCCAAGCCTGACCCGGAAACCTGCTGAGGGAGGGCAGGAGGTGCCAGGCTTGAATCTACAAGCAAGCTGCAGGCCCCAGACTATGGCTGCTCCTTCCTAATAGAGGTAATCTTTAGCTGAGAGATCCCTGGTTTTTTGTCAGGGCTGGGAAGAGTAGT